GGACTTGAGCCAATAAATCTCATCAGACTAATTCGATACGTGGCGTGGCTTTTCTCTGACTCGACTCAGTGTGGGCGCTGGTCAGCAAGTGCTCGATGGCGGATGAAGGAAGTCTGCGGTGACTGGGCCCTCGGCTGGCTGCCACCCTTGTGGTTTTTGCTACTTGTTTGCCAGCCTGTTGTCATTTGTTAACATTTCATTACATTTATTCCACACTGGACACAATTCCAAAGTGGATGAATGGATTTTGCCGTTTGATCTCGCCCCGAAGGATGAGTACTGTACTCTCCACCCCCCTTGCCCACACCATTGGATTCTCGCTCTGTATTTGCTCTCAAACCAATTTGTTTTATAATTGAATTTGAAATTGAAGATGACATTCGGTTTGCAATTGTTTGGCGTGTGGTGCAGCAGCAGCAGCCACAGGCCAATGGGCCACGCCCTCTTTGCCATCCTCCCTGGTGACCCGAGCAGACCCGACCTGACCTCAACTATGTCTATGTGTTTAGGTAATTGTATGCACAGATCGAGTGTGCTCGCATCTCTCTCGCTTTGTGCCTGACCAAAAATTCAATTATGTATAAAATTTCACAACCATTTTCCGGGATGACTTTTGGGAAAAACGCAATTTTCTATTTAATTTGCTTTCAAGTGTCATGTCGGTTGCTCTCTCTGGTCACATGTTGTATGCCCAAGTGCTAGCCCCACCCCGCACACATGGTTGCCCGCCGCAGCATATGCACGTGCACTTTGACCTCGAGGTGATTCCGGCTCTGGCAAATATTGTTTGGCACGCCGAACGCTTTTCGGATTTTATTCATGCATCATTTGACTTTGCGGCTATTTCGATTGATTTATTCGCATTATCACAAAAAGACTCTATAAATTTTATATATTTATATTTCTGTTTTCAAATTGCCGGCGTTTATTTTAATGGGTTTCCCCACACTGCACCGTGAATGGGTCAAATGTAGGCAAGGGGGAATTAATGTGATTTGTAATAAATTCTACAATTTGCCATATTAAATTAAGGTACAGATTTCCTCAAGACAAACCCTGCCTATGCATGCAGTCAGTTCCCGCAGTAGCTTCCAAATGATTTCCCACAGTAATCATAGCGCACTCAGAGAAAACAAGAGTAGCATTAAATATTTTAATATTTAAATTTAAATATAAATATATTTTAAACACATCTAAAATTTTTTTAAATATTTAAATGTTTAAATCAAAGTTAATTATATTTATTTTTTAATATGGATGCATATGCCATTTTTCTCCGAGTGTGAGCATCCGTATCTCAAAATCTAGCAGCTTAGTTTGAAATCAGGGGCCCATCATCATCATTATATGCAATGCAGACCAAGACCAGGTCCAAGTACTCCACCCGATTCTCTCTCAACCGTGTCATAGTCTGGACCAGACACCAAATTAGCATACATGCCATAAAGCAAATTTGATTTCTATCATCCATCTGGCCCCATCAAGCACCACCCCCTCCTGGGCATAGAATAGAGGCACTCAGCTGTGCGTCAAGCACTTAACCCGCTTTTAGCAATAAAATTAACTTTCCATTGAGCCGGGGGGAAATGGGATCGAGGAGCCAGCAGCACAGCAGCACAGCACGTACAAGTCGAACGTATAGGAAATTAATGGTTTAAGGCAAAAGTGTTTAACGAAATTGGCTGACGGCTGGTGGACGGAGTAAAGGCAAGTGGGAGACGTAGAGCTGAGAGCACAGTGTGCACACGATAAACCATGTAGCCTACTCTAAAGGCAGTAAATTCCTCGACTATCTCTGTATTTCACTTTACGAGTATTGGCGCATAAAAACCGAACCGAACAGAACAGAACGGAACAGGGAAAAGAAAGATACGAAAAGGAAAGGCAACCCAGATCCGATGCCTCTCTCCATACGTCCGCCCAACCGAGCATGGAAGCAGCAAGCAATTCCGGGTTCCCGGAGTCTGACTGGTGACTGGGACAGGAGCTGGCGCTGGCGTTGGCACTGGCACTGGCTCTTGGCACAATTTGAAAGAGAAGCTGTGCTTAAGAAGGCGTGTAATTGAAACATTCAAAAGACAATTTCCAAGTCTTAGCACAGACACACTTAATGGACGCAAAAGACATGGACAAAGTTAAGAAGTGAAATGCGAAAGAAAAATGGCACAGCACAGGCAGAGCAGGGGGGCGAGGAGGGGCTGCATCAGGGGTTCGGTTCGGATGTGTGGCAATCAGGCGTGACCGGGGGTCAAATGGATTGGCATGGCATGAAATATTCGTACGTACATATATTACGTTGAGCTCTTTTTTCTTCCCAGCTGCCCCCCAAGCATCCCACTGCCACTTCTGCTTGCGCTTCCCAACGTACTCGTGAGGTAGACACTGCCGGCCCGTGCGTTAATTAAACAAACAGCCAATAAGATTGATGGCACGTTGATTGAAAAACAATTGATGCAACTGTGCGGCCACATTAGCATGATATTGGACCAAGCCAAGGCTTGGCCACGACCAAGAGCGCCAGCGTGAGGCTCTTATCAGCTGACATGCCAAAAGTTCAGCTTCGGTTGGGAAGAGAGAGAGGGCCAGGGCCAGCACAGGGATGGCTTCTAGCTTGTCCAAAGTTCGCATAAATAAAGTCCAATATCAATAGAGACAGCAGACACTCGTGTATGTATGTATGTATGTATAAGCTGATTGACAGCACACTCGACTCCCAGCAGGGTCCGTCGTTTCCATGGCGTTTTAATGGATTTTTGATTTCCGCAACGAGCTGAATTTCCATGGGGTGGCGGCTGGCTGGGTGCCATTTTTTCTTCATTTGTTTCTTTGTTTATCGCTTATGTAAACAAGCCTCATCTAGCTATGGGACACCACTTGACACTGACATGTTGCGCTTTGGCTGCGGTGGGACGGAAAGTCGAGGAATATTCCCACGATTGGTAGTCGTGGATGGATGGAAAAGATGATACGCCTAAAATATATTGCATAGGTTACAAAAATCATAAGCTAACATATACGTGCAACGCCTCACAACATGCCCCCACTTTTGGTTTATTTTTAATTTATTTTATATTTTGGTATTTAAATTCAATCAACATTTTTCTATATTTTTATTTTGCTGGAATGAGGGCCTTCAATAGTGGAAATGTGTATGATGTGGGTGTCTTTGTGTCTTGTTGCTGCCCTGCTTGACTTTGATCAGCGCTGCACATGATCAAGCACGGAGCGACCGCGCAGACGTTGCACGTGAGAATGGCGCACATAGGCGCTGGCCAGTCCCTTGATGCCCAAGAACGTCATACCGCCCAGGAGGATGCCCAGGAACCTGTTTTCCATCTTCGCGTACAAGCTGCGTCCCAGCAGCACGGCAAAGCTGGGCAGACTGAGGGCCACGACGAAGCTGGTCGAGGCTCTGCGCATTGCCTCGCTGCCAAATATTTCGGAGTCCTGTAGTTCTGTATGATCCTGGGACAAATCATCGAAGTAGTTGGCGTCGAGCGGGGCCCCCGGCAGTCTCTCGCCCGCCTCATCCAGATCTTCTGGCTGCACGCCATGGCGGCGGCTGCGGAAGATGCGTAGGAAACGCAGCATGTAGTCATCCAATCTTATTCTGCGAAGCAGCAGAAGCCCCACAGGAATCGTCGGCAGGCCTATTATCAGAAGCGTGGTCTCCTCGTTCAGTAGCGCCAGGCTTTTGCGGTAGCCGATAATCTGGATGAGCGTCAGGGCCCCGAAGGTCATCGCCGAGAAGTAGAGAGCGGCCGAAATTGTGCCCATCGTCACGCTGGGACACACTGCACCGTAGAAGTTGTCGATCCCGGATAGCAGCGCATCGAATCGGCACAGCGGCGTCGTCACAATGATGTACTCTGTGCGGCACTGGGAGCACGCGATCGGCTTGTTCGGATGTCGCAGCTGCAACTCGTCGATCCAGCGGTTCAGGCAGTTGCGATGCACCCACTTGTTGCTGCCGCGGCAGCGGCACGGGTGGAGCCAATCCGTACGCTGCGACGGCCCCTCGTCGCCGTCCAGGCAAATCCAGCACATTCGCTCCTCGTCGAGGCCCCCATGAAGACGGGGAAGTCGGGGAAGTTCGCAGAGAGGCTGTCGCGGAGCTCTACGCATTTTATTTGTTACTTTTTAGTTAGTAAATTTAAAAAGTTGTCATTTTCCGATGTAGAAAATAAAATGTGACTTAGAAATCCTTAACGTGGGTCACTTAGTCTTTTTGTATACTATATAAAGGCCCGATTAGATACACATAAAAATCCTATATTTAAGTATTCTACACTATTGCTATGGAAACTCCTGTAATACAATCACCTATAATCTTTTTGTATACCAAATAATACAGCAAGCAATTAAGGCCCGAATTTAAGCATTTGTATCCAATACACTATTATTATTCTGTTTATTATCAAAATGCGTATTTGTTTCGTCGAATAACATCGCCAATCTTTTGTTAGTCTTTCTATTGTATACTATAGCTTCGCTGATTACATAAAACACACACTATATACAAACACACTATAGTGAGTAGCGTATCATACGAGAAGGCCGCACCCCTTCTGGGAAAAACTTATAACCACTGTCAGTAATACATTTTTGGACATTGCATGAATATTCTACATCTAACATGTAGATTTTACATTGCCAATTAGTTTCCAGTATCCAATTAAGGGTACTTATTACGTAGTTCTGTTTAGGGATGCGTTGTCGCAAGGGAGGGGAAGTGGTATTTGTCATTCTGGCTGTAATTCTGATCTGTAAAAATCTGGCAATTGGGCATCCCAAGTCTTTTTTGTTTTGTTCTTTAAAACTGTGCAATTTCGTATGTGGTGGGAATGGGGCCGAAATTTTATAACAGGCTTACCAGCCTGAATGTCCAGCGTCATCCACACTGTTTGCATTCACAGGGACGGACGGCTAATTTGTCAGCCATGGCTATAACGACTCGGCTAATGATGTGATTAATTTGGGCGTAAACATCCACTTTTGCCGTAGCTGCATATCATAATAATATCATAATAAACGCTAGCGAAACACACAAAAATTGAACTGCTACTACTACAGCCTGGTGCTATACCAATCACAAATATATAATTAATCTTCTAATGCATCTAAGTATATTGAAAACGTTTCTGTTGCTGCATTCTACTATACTGTTTCCTCTGCCTAATATCATATGAATGGAAGTGCCTCGTACAACAAGTAGAACAATTGAAATTTTTGCTGCGTTCAGCTATCGTAAATATATATCACTTGCACTAATACATTAATAGGTGTAGAACTTCGGGTATTACTGAGTTATTGCCATGCTTATAGGGCGATCAATTTGGTTTTACACTTTTCGGCATCCCACAGCTCCAGCAGATGATCGCGCGAGTTGGGGCCCCGCTCTGGCGGAGAGTTGCCGGCCGACAGGCTAGTGGGTGAGAGCACGCCGGACTGCAAAAATAAAACACAAAAGAGTTAGTGATAGATGTTAATCTGCATGCTCATAAATGCTCACCTTTGTGGCTATCTTGCGGGGGTCCAGGTTGAGGCCAATGTTCTTGGCCAGCTTCGAGAGGGGACTGGTTAGCTGCTTCAGTTTGTTGGCGTCTGAGTGGGCCGCCGGCAGTCCCAGCGGCAGGCTAAGATCCCTGGCCCCGGCACTAGAAACGCGTCACACAATACACACACAACATTATCTTTGCTAATTGAGTTTATTTTGAGCACTTTTTTTTCGGGCAGTGAGTGCCCCAAGGTATGCGGTTGTGTATGGAGCAGGCACAAGTATTTCCACTTTTGTACAATAATACATGCTAGTCTTAGGTATACATACATACATATATTATTTAAAACGTATATCAGGTTTATAATAATACTTCAAGTTGAATATTATAAAAAACATTGCTGTCGATTAACATAAGCATTAACATTACAAAAAATATCTACCACACTCAGAGAAAAAAGCACTGACATATTGAAATATTTTAAATAAATACTTTTCATATTTAAATTAAATATTTTCCCATTTAGAATAAATATATATCATACTTTAGGGGATATTTGGATTAAATATGGACCGCATTCAAAAAGGCTTTTTGCAATCAAAGTGAATTCCGAAAGTGAATATTTAATTGAAATTGTGCGTGTGTCTGTTTACTATGCTTTTTTCTTCGCTGAGTGCACAAACAGATTGGCTAATTTACAACTTTAAAAGAAAAGAAAAAACGAGATTACAAATTACGAAGCTCAAATCAAGAAACATCTACTGCTGCTGGCATAAATATTAAACATTAATTGTAGAATACCGACCTGGACTGCGGCTTAGAATCCTGCGCCTCGAAGGCTTCGTGCGCCTCCACACAGATCTGGGGATTGGGCGTGATTGGTCGTATGTGTGGAGCATTCTCCAGCAGGCCTGTGGGCAGACTGACATGATCCGTGACCGAGGTAATGGAAATAGTGAGCACATCTTCGGCCGTCTTGCACATGCTATCCTTCTGCTCCAGCTGTCGAATTTCGTCCGATGATTCCGCTTTCTGACTGCCCATTACAATGCCCACCGAGGGCAGGAAAGCATTCTCGTTGTAGTTGCCTTTATCCAGGGCTATCTCCACATCGGAGTCCACCTCGGGCTCGTACAGACTGTTGTCGTGGTCTTCTGTGTCCGTGCTGCTGCTGGTGCTCGTGGCCCGTTGCTTTCCGCCCAGTGTGAATACAGCCTTCTCCGCCGCTTCCTGCCCAGATTCGATTGCTTGGGGATTGATTGTGGCTGCCAAATGGCCTTGATGCTGTGCGGAGCTCGATGAGGGCTTCTTGAAGGTCTGACCCAATTTCGAGAACTGACCGGCCACATTGGACAGAGCCTTGGAGCTGATCTGCACCAGCTGAGATTCGGAAAGGTTGCGCGGCATGCCACCCTTGGGTACGTCCAGCATGGGCACCTTGCTTTTCCGCCGCTGCAGCACCCCGCCCGTGATATAGTGGACATCCGTGTTGCCAGCATTGTCCAAGGCGATGCGAAACATCTCCACAATGGAGCTCAGAGATTCGGCCAGCTCCTCCTGCGTCTTGATCACGTACGCCATGTTGTTGAAGAAGCGCAGATTGGCCGAGCGGAACATGTGGAAGTAGCCCTCCTGTTCGTCCACGCTGTAGTTCAGACGCAAGCAGAGATGGGCCGGGGCCGAGCCCTGGAACATTTTCGTTTGCTGATGCATGCCCAGCTCTATGATGCGCAGCTGCTGCAGCTGTACCTTCTCGAAGCGCACAATCTTGTCCAGATGCGAATCGTACTCGGCCACAATGTAACAGTCATCGGTGAGCAGCAATATGGAGTCCACCTCCGTTTCGCTGGCATCCCCAGAACTGCGAAAAAATGTTCGTTTGGATTGAGTTACATAATTCAGCGGGAAAATCGAACCCACCTTGGATCTGCATCGATTAGACCCCAGGCCCCAACGGGATACTGAGCAGAGCCCAGCAGCAGGCGGCGACAATCCTCCACAAGCATTTTGGCATGTTCGGCATTCTCGGTGGCATCATTCTCATCCGGAGCTGCTTGACCGCCCAGCGCACTTAGCGATTCCGAGGAGACTTGGTTGCCCAGCATCAGGTCGATGGTGGCCTGGCGATAAGAGTCCTTAAAGCGGGCCAAATAATAGCTAAAAGATCACGTAAATAGGTTAAAAATGCTCAACGAAATGGCGATAAAAATAGAGATAAAAAGGCGTATGCGCAGATGGATTTAAAGTGATTGACAATAAATGGGAAGATGAAGAATATGTAATACCTTTTGCGAAATAAGAAACAAGGATATTGTAACAATTGGAGCAACTAAAAACTGTAACTGTAACTGCCTGACTTCGTTGGCTTGGCCATCGACTCCACCTCCACCTCCATCTGATTCTGTTTCTGATGGCCTCTGATCTGCGCACCTGGTTGTGACGATGGATTCGAGCAACTTCAGCTCAGGTGCCAGCACGCCCACACCATAATAACCCCTGATGGGCGCACGTGTCTCGGGCTTGAGTATCTGCAGTATCGTGCCCAGGACTTCATCCTCTTGCAGCTCATCGGCCTGCCTCAGTTGGCCCAGCATCAGATCGATGATGCACTGGCGAAACGAGTCCGCAAAGTTTTGTATGAAAAAGCTACGAAGAATAGTTGTGGGCACACGGCATTAGCTTTGGGTCTGTGTACAAATATATATTCATAATAATTCATAATGGTGGTGTGGTACCCTTCCACACAAGACCTTGTCAGGGTTTCGGTACATATTATATTTGTTTAGTTAGGATATGGGGAAAAAAGCATGCAGCATTAGTAAATCAGATCGATGAGAAATCCCAGAGGAGCACTGGTTGAAGGCAAAATGAATATAAGGCTGGTTTGCTGCTCTTGCGGACAGTTTAGAAATATTAATTGCAATTTGATTGATTGCCAAAAATGGGCAAAGGAATTGTTCTGATGGCCAAGTCTCAATTTCGATTTAAATTCGTTTAATTAGTGATCACGTTCAAGTTCAAAACGGGGGGTGATGATGAGTGGGGAATAGATAAGAACAGCAACAAAAATTACAAAAATAATGCCATAATTTGAGTAGTGTACGCACCGATTGGCCGAGTTCATGCCGTCCTTCATCATGCCGCTGATTTTACGCTCCCCAGTCCGTGTGTAGTCCCCCTGTGAAGCATTTTACATAAGCATTTAAATGGATATCTGCTGTGGATTAATCGTAAATTAATGCATACCTTTAAGGCATTGGTGCCTGCATATTGTCTGCTGATAATGTCTCCATTGTTTGCCCACAGCACCATGAACGGGGACTTCAGCTGCTCGGGTATGGGCGTGTAGGGCGGCGAGAGGCCCAATTTGACGAGCTGCGACTCCAGCACCGCCTTGCCAATGGCCGTTTGCACCACATTGGTGCGATCCAAGCAGTCCATGCAGTTCACACGAAACACCGATTTCTGATTGCAGATCATGCCGCGCTGATCGCGCCAGTGGAAGCCCATGGCGCCTGCCTCAGGTCCGACGGCATCAATCAGCGCCGAGACATTCTCGAAGCGCATGCCGCGGCTGCCCAAACAACGAAAATAGGTATGCATTAGTTAGGCGGTTAGGGCAACGGCATTTATGTATCTTACCAGTAGTCGTGAAAGTCAAAGGTCACATAGATCATGAGCTCGTTGTTGTATTTGATCACGTGATCGGCATAGGCATCTCCGATGAGCTTCTCCTTGCCACTCTGCTCCACCAGATTGACAATGCAGACACGGCCATAGGTCCCCAGCTCTTTGGTGAAATGCAGCTCGAAGGCTTGCTGTGTTTCGGCCACACCACGATCGAGACGGGCCGGCGGGCGGTACTTGTAGCCGGGCTGGCTCCAATAAATCGGCACGGAACCGCGCACCTGCGTAAACGACAATTGGTGATGGCGAAAGGAGAGTATTTGCTCGGTTTCCACATAATTGGCACAGTTTCCCTTCTCATCCACGCCCCGTCGCTTGTAGCTGGAGCGGATCAAGTGAGGATCGTCAGTTTATGATTGCAAGATTGATCAATGGGTATTACCGTGTTCCCGCTCGATGGCGTGAGCGTCGCGAGACCAAGGCCAATGTGAAGCACTCATTGCCAATGACGCACGGCTCCACCTGCACGAATCCCTGAATGATGGGCAGTATCCATGTTTTATCCTAAGTGGGGAGAGTAATTCCATTGAAATGCAATTGCAAACATGTCTGGGAGTTGTCTCACATTCATTTGGAGTATGTCCTGGATCATGTGCATGTTCCAGAAGAACCTCTCGTCGGGCTGCGGTTGGCTCTCCTCCATTTTGGCTTCGTGGCGCTGCAGATTGTTGGTGATATCGCAATCGAAACTGAAGTAGAAGCTGTCCGTGTCATCGAATATCTTGTGCAGCTCCTCGGTGATCCGTCGCTCAATGTGCTTCGGCTCCCGTATGCCCACAGAGGACTTGACCTGCTTGGTGGCCAGGTTTGCTGCCTGCTGTGTGGTGTTCTTGATGGTGTTCCCAGCACTCTTTACAGCGCCCCACGTTTTATTCATGCCCTCAAACAGCTTGGTGCTCTTCGAGGATCCGGAGACGGTGGCAGTACCGCCGCCACCCGACGAGGCGCTCACATTGTTATTCTGCGCTGCTGCAGTGGCGCTGCTGTGAGTGGGCGTGGACTGGTTGCTTCTGCCATGAGAAATAAGATTAGATTCACGTGCGTATGGCTACGAATGGGGCAGTGTCACTCACTTGGTATGCTTGGTGCAGTTGGGCAGATCGGCGTCTGGATCCTCGGCACTCAGTATGCAAATCGACTTGATCTTATACACGAGGTGCGGGGGATACAGCACACCCACGGCGGTCGCCTCCTTGATCACGACCAGGTGCGGATCGTAGACATTGGGCAGCGAGATGACGCCCACAATTCCATGCGTGACTCCAATGCATTCAATGTCATCCACAGAGCTCAGATCCCATCCTACAACAGAGAGGGACAGAGTACTTTATGTTTTATTTTATGTGTCCAACAATCACTAACATCTAATTGTCGCTGTCTAATGGCAATGACCGATTTATGCTCGTTAGCTTTTTATTGATATTTGATTAGCTGTGTGGCCCAAGCCACGTTTACGCCCCCCCCATTGTGTGTGACAATCTTCTGCTGGTCATGTACGGTAGCAATCAAACACACAACAACACGCAAATAACTAATAACGAGGAAAGAACAATGTAAATATCCCCACACCCAAGGACTATCGTACTCTCTACGCTACGTAAGTGCATATTAGCGTGTTTCCATGGTTCACCCTTGAGGTTACTGCTGCCCCGCTCATTACTGGAGCACACACCCACCCAACCACTCGGCCAACTGAAAACAGCAACGAGTGGAAAGTGTGCGGGAAAGTGCACTTAACGTGTGTCACCTACATGCATCCTTGGGCATCGCATCCACTTCCATTTGATGTAGATGAGAGCTCGCCATGGCAGGGTTTTACTGCCTTCTTGCCCTTCCGCACTTACAGTTCTTCTATCTTATCTTATGTCTAAGGGTTTATCTTGCTTTAGAGGGAGATATGGCCAGAAATTGTCTGAATAAAACAAAAGTTAGAAAAGCTTGAAAACATTTTGCGGCAGCCCAAAAATCAATAGCAAAAGATAGTTGGGGACCATAATAAATTATGTCAAGTTCGTTGAGGAAGGGAAAGGCAGAAAGGGGTAGACAACAAAACATATTTGGGGGGAAAAAAAGAAAACTGAGTGGTTCCCCCACTACCCGTCTGCAGCGTGTTGACCTTGACAAGGATTTATGGATCGTATATTCCAGAGACAATAGCAGGGGATCCAAGGGCCAACAGACACGCCACCAAGGAGCTGGCGGAAACATAGCTGGGAGTGTAATCAAAACGGGAATTAAATGCAACACGCGCGGCAGAGTTGCGTGCCAGCGAATGGGATCCAAGTGTAATTACCGCACAATAAACAAGCAATTAGCGGGAAAGAGTCCTGTCGACGGGACTCGCACTGAAATTATTGACTGCTCGGAATGGATTTTCTGGAGGGTATTAATAGACGCAACAGCCATCCAAAGGCTGTCAATGAAGAGGCACAAACTGGCTGTGGTTGGGTGAAAAAAAACCTTGACGCCTCCACAGGCAGGGCAGCCCACCAAGTCTGATGAAGACTGTGGAGAAATGTATTAATAGAACGCAGTGAGCGAATGATAAATACTAAGCGTTAGAAACGGCGACCGCATTAGTGCCATATACGAAATAAAAGCATCTCGCATACAGGAAAACATTATAGTATGTTCGAATTACAGTAAACGTTTTGCGTGTTTAATCATCCACTCAAACATTAAGTCACTTATGTAGTCAAAGGCAGATGCGACCATGAATCCTCCCCAGCCAGCCCCCACTGCAGCCTTGACATTGGACTAAAATGTAGAACATTCCTCTTATCGACAGATTCACAAGGCGGCTGCTCTGCTGATTCAACAAATATCCACTTTATGTGGCTTTTAATTGATTACACTTATTAATGCAATTTGCACAATGAAATACTGATTCATCTGCGTCTTATTTTTATTAATTTTATCATTACCCGCTTTGATGGCAAACTCTGACGTCTTGCGGTTCCACCACAAACTCTTGTCGCGCTTCACGAATATATAGTGCGAATCGGTCTGGAACACCTCCATGCTTGGCCGAGTATTTTGCTAGTTTGTTTATTTGTTATTTATTATTTGGCTTGCGACATTACGAAATACTGATGTAAACACGGTGCTATTTTGCTTGCGACATTTTAATTGGTAACGAAATACGGATGAAAACAGCGTGAGTGTTAACGGTCAACTGTTGTTGTTGTTCAATCCATTTGATAATTTTCCAAGGTGCGACTTTTCCCAATTGGATACAATTTTTATAAAAATATTTTACTTTAGCTCAAAAATGAGCAAGTGTGACCGCGGATTTATCAATACAAAATAACGCATGACCCTCACAAATATATCGAAATATACCATGGTCAAAATATACCGTAAATATACTGACGGACACGACAATATGCATTGATATTCCTCGATTTTGATGTTCGGTTTAAATATTACTAGATAGTTAGCCCTCACAGCCCAAAACAAATAAGTTTAATCCAATTCCTAAATATATTTTGTTCAGGATTGGCTAGTCTTCAGAACTAAACTCTTTTTTACTGCATTATTAATTAGGTTCAAACTTTGTTACTCTGTTAAAACTATGAAGCCACACAAATATATCGATATTTTTGTGCGATAACTATGTAATTCTCATAATCAGCCTGAAAGTATCTTTTGGGCGCCCGGCATATATCTGTTCATGCCAAACTAAAAAAATTGAAATAATTTTCTTTTAGTGTATGTTCTGTAAATTTTATTATAAACTTTAAGCATAGCTTAGATATATGTATGTATTATGTATATGGCTTTCTGAACGTATTTTTAACTGTAGGAAGAAAACTAAAAAAAATATTTTATTGAGCCTACATAAATGTAAATTTAAGTTCACAACTGTGTGATTTGGCCAATCACTAACGATACGATACCGACACCAGATATTTGTATTAATCCCAGCTTAAAGTACTGTAATTTTCCTACGACTTAACCTAACACTTCTGACCAATCGATCCGATCATTTGCTGCGCCAGCTGACCGCTCTGCTTGAACTGCTTGAACAGCTTGAACTGCTTGAACTCGTTGACGCTGGCACAGCAAGCGCGGATCGCTTTAGAAAAACTAAACTAGTTCTACTTAAATACGCAGACTGCGACGCCTGTGGCCGATGTTGAGCCACTCCAGCGGCACGTTGCCGGCCACGTTGTAGGTGGTCGGGGTGCAGTTCATCAGCTTCCTGGCCGGCTCGCAGCGGCGACTCACATTCCAGTAGGCGAAGCCCTGCGGACAGCGGTAGATTTGGCCCTCGACGCGGCCCGTCTGCTCCGAGTATCCGCACTTGATGAACAGCTGACTGCACTCGTCCTCGTTCAGGGCAAAGTGTCCCTCGCCGGGGCAAAGTGGAGCTGTGGAGCTTATTTGCACCTATTCGGAAGGTAAGAAAAGAACGTCTTATAAAAATTGCTAAATACTTGGGAGGGTGCTAGTGACTTGCCATGTTTTGGCGCCGCGTTTCGTCCTCGAACAGGTTGGGGTTAGTCCTCTTCTGGCCCTTGCTGCATTTATCGCCCGCCTCGGGCTTGCCACAGCTGCAGGACTTGTCCTGGTACACCGTGCCATTGGGGCACTGGAACACCACAATGTTCAGGTCGTTGCTGTCCGCGCTCTCGCTGCACTGGTAGAACATGCCGCAGGTCTCCGGATGGCTGCGGAAGCCGGTGGGGCAAACGTACACGTTCTGCCCTGGCCCCTTGCTCGGACATGGCTCAGTTCCATTCGAGCTTGGTGTTGGTGGGGCAGATGAAGTAGTTGTGGTATCTATGGTGCTATCAGTTGTTGTGTCCATTGGGGACGTCGTGGTTTCTGGCTTTGGACTCTTGGTCGTCGTTTCGTTGGGTCCTGTAGTGGTTGTCTCTTCGGTGGGTCTTGTAGTGGTTGTCTCTTCGGTGGGTCTTGTAGTGGTTGTCTCTTCGCTGGGTCGTCGTTTCGTTGGGTCCTGTAGTGGTCGTTGCTTCGCTGGGTCTTGTAGTGCTCGATTCGGTGGTCTCCTCCGGCTTCGCTGTTGTTTCAGTCGGTCTGCCAGTTGTCGTGGGTGAGTCCGTAGTGGAGCTGGAGCAATTTCCCGATACCTGATCCGCGTAGTTGCAGGTCTGTGCGGACGTATCCCACACCGTACCCTTGGGGCACTTGAAGCTGTACACCTGATATTTGCCATTCTTGCTGCCGTCCACGCAGCGATAGTAGTGGCTGCAGTCTTCGGGATCGGCGAAGAAGCCCTCGGCGGTGCAGTTGTAGTTCGATTCTGGTTCTGGTTCTGGAATGTTGGTGGTTGTTTCGGTGGGCCCTGCAGTAGTCGTTGGGGTCGTTGGGTCCTCCGTTGTAGAGGTGGGTCTATAGCCTGGACTAGATGTTGTAGTATCTTCACTGGGTTTTTCTGTGCTTGTTTCTGGCGTTGGCTTTGTGACGGGTTCCTGTGTTGGTTCTGTGGTGGGCTTGTCAGTTACTGTGGTTGTTTCTGGCGTTGGTTTTGTGGTTGTTTCTGGTGTCGGCTTTGTGGTGGGCTTGTCCGTTACTGTGGTTGTTTCTGGCGTTGTGCTCTCTGGTCCTTTAGAGTCTTCCGTCACCGTACTCTCCGTCTGCGCGGGTGTAGTGGATGTGTAGATTGTTGTCGTGGTGGTGGGTGGCTCTGTTGTGCTGGAGCACCTCGGTATATTCGCCATGTAGTCACAGGTCTGGACATCTTCGTTCCATCCCGTGCCCTTGGGGCATGTGAAGTTGTACCTTCTGTAGGAGCTTCCAGCGTTTATGCAACGGTAGTACTTTCGGCAGTCCTCGGGATCAGCCATATAGCCCTCGCCCTTACATTCCGTGCCAGCTGGCAGTGGCTTCATCGTAGTCGTGGTATGGAAGTTACAGGCTCAGTGGTTTCCGTGCTGCCAGTCGATCCCGATCCCGTTGTGCTGGGCACCTCTGTGGTGGTGCTAGGCGGGGTAACACTCGTTGTTGTTGTTGGGATTTCCGTTGTGGTCACCGGCGTAGTTGTGACGGTTGTGGAGGGTGTAGTTGAGGTCACTGTGGTCGTCGATGGGGTCGTCGTTGAGTTGTTTGTCGTCGTCTCACATGGTGGCTTTCCTGGTGCTTCTGTTGTGTTGATGGTAGTGTTGCAATTGTTGAAGTTGTGGTTGCATGTTTGCAGGTCCTGGTCCCACACAGTTCCGGCTCCGCATTGGAAGGGAATCTGGGTGAAGCCACCTCTGCCATTGCTCACACAGCGATAGAACTTGGAGCAGTTGTTGGGATCGGCCATGAATCCCTCGGACCTGCACTGTCCATCGGTGTTGGGGGCACTTGTCGAAGTGGGTCGCGCTGTGGATGCTGTGGTTGAAGATGGTCGAGATGTCGTGGGTCGCGATGATGCCGTTGTGGTGGACGGTCGCGATATGATTGTGACAGGTCGCGATGTGGTTGTTGTGCTTGATGTTGGTCGAGATGTCGAAGGTCGGGCTGTAGAAGTTGAGGCTGTGGTCGGACGTGTAGTTGGTCTTTGCGTCGACGAAGACGTGCCGGAGCCGCCGGAACCGCCGGAGCCGCCGGAACCGCCGGAGCTGCCGGAACCGCTGGAGCCGCCGCATCCCTTGACTGCCCAGGCATGGTTACAGCCCTGGATTTGAGCATCCCACACCGTGCCGGGACCGCAAGTGAAGGGCACCATGGTGAAGCCGCCTCTGTCGTTATCCACGCACCGATAGAACTTTGCACAGTTTGTCCGATCGCCAATAAACTGTCCATTTTCTGTGCATGGCTCTGAGGGATTCGATGGGGGAGGGCTAATGATCACACTAGACGAAGGTCCCGAAGAGCTGCCGCTACTGCTTGATCCTTGACTTGAGCTGCTTGAGGACGACCCCTGAGTACTGTTGTTATTACTAGTGGATGAAGAGGTTGTTGATGATGAGGTTGTGGATGATGAGGTGGATGATTCGTTGCTGCCACTTGATGAGGAGCCACCGGTAGAGGATGAGCCACCAGTAGAGGATGAGCCACCAGTAGAGGATGAGCCACCGGTAGAGGATGAGCCCTGGCTGGACGAGGTGCCTCCCGTTGTTGAAGATGAAGAGGAACTTGTGCTATTGGATGATGTCGAGCCTGTGACCTTTTTGCATTTCATCGGCTGGCTTTGAATTTGATCGGGATGGTTGCAGCTGTTGGCCTCCGGGTCCCAGAGGGTGTTGGGCGGACAGGTGAAGGACACCATCGTGAATCCTCCCTTGCCATTGTCCACGCAGCGATAGAATTTGGCGCAATTTTCCTTGTCCGCAAGGAATGTTTCCTCACTTTCGCACTTTTCAGCAGGTTTGAAGGGTTTCTGAGTTGTTGTTGATCCTTCGGTGGAGTTTTGGCTGGACGTAGATGACGACTCTGAAGAGCTCTGGTTAGAGGATGATCCTTGAGTGCTGGACTCTGTAGATGAAGCAGAGGTCTGGTTGGACGAAGAGCCCTGGCTCGAAGTTGTCGATCCTTGGCTATTGGAAGTTTCTGTTGAGGCCGAAGAGCCTTGACTGGAAGACGAGCTCTGGTTGTTAGAAGACGATGATCCTTGGTTGGAAGTAGATGATCCTTGATTACCAGACGAAGAAGAAGATGATCCTTGATTACCAGACGAAGAAGAAGATGATCCTTGATTACCAGACGAAGAAGAAGATGATCCTTGATTACCAGACGAAGAAGAAGATGATCCTTGACTACCAGACGAAGATCCCTGGTTAGAAGACGACGATCCTTGGTTGGAAGACGAAGATGATTCTTGGTTAGAGGATGACCCCTGGTTCGAGGAGCCCCTGGCTGCTTGATCCCTGATTGGATGAACTTCCACTGCCACTTGCCATAGCCCTGCATTGCTCCTTCTGCACATCCGTTGGATGGTTGCAGCCCTTGGTGTCGGGATCCCAAACCGTTCCTGGGGAACAGTCAAAGGGCACCGTGTCGAATCCACCCTTGCCATTCTCTACACAGCGATAGAATCGGGCACAATCCGTTTTGTCAGCCAAATATGTTTCCGTATCCTTGCACTCACCGTCAGGATTCGATGGCTTCGATGTCGAAGTTGCTTGGGTGCTGGAACTTTCAGTGCTTGTGGATGTTCCATTGCTGGCAGTGGAGGATGCAGTCGAGCTCTGCTGATTGTTAGAGCTTGACGAGGAGCTTGATGATCCTTGATTGCTTGATGAGCCTTGATTGGCAGATTGGTTGCTGGATGAGCCCTGATTGGCTGATTGATTGTTGGATGAGCCCTGATTGGCTGATTGATTGCTGGATGAGCCTTGATTGCTGCCTTGGCTGGACGACTGGTTGCTGGATGAGCCTTGATTGCTGGAGGATTGCTGACTGCTGCCTGACGCGGTAGTGCTCTCCTGGCTGCTGCTGCCTGATTGATTATTATTGCTAGAGGAGGAGGAGGAGGAGGAGGAGGAGGAGCTGGAATTGCTCGCCGATTGATTGCCGCTGGATGTGGAATTGTTGCCACTGGCTTGTTGGCCACTGTTGGATCCCGTTTGTATATTACATTTCTGCTTTTGGTCTTCGTTGGGCAGATCGCAGACCTTCTCCTGCTGGTTCCATACGGTGCCCGGTCCGCAGGTGAATGGCACCTGCTCCAGTCTGCCATTGCCATCTAGGCGACATCTGTAGAACTTGGCGCAATCTTTTGTGTCCGGTATGTAGGTATTTTCATCCTCACATTCAGTTGGTGCGGGTGTGCTGGCTGAGCCACTGGACTGGTTACCACTGGAAGAGCTCTGATTGCTGCCAGAACTTTGATTATTGCCAGAGGATTGAGTGCTGTTGTTTCCTGAGCTTTGATTGCTGCCAGAACTTTGATTGCTGCCAGAACTTTGATTATTGTTTGAGCTTTGATTATTGTTTGAGCTTTGATTGCTGCCAGAACTTTGATTACTGCCAGAACTTTGATTACTGCCAGAGCTTTGATTACTGTTGTTTTCCTGAGCTTTGGCTGCTGCCTGAGCTTTGGTTCTGGCTGTTGCTAGAGCTTCCGTTGGATTGGTTTTGATTCGAGGAGGAGCCCGTGCTCGATTGCTGGTTGTTGGTTGTCCCGCTGCTCGACGTGGACGTCTCCTGGTTCGAGCCTGAGCTGGAGCTTGATGTGGATGAACTTTGCGTTGATGAGCTGCTGGACGATGTCGAGCTGGAGCTGGAGCTGGACTGCTGAGTGCTGCTGGACGTGGAGTTCTGATGGCTGCTGCTGGACTCTGATGACTGTGTTGATGTTTGGCCTGCATAATAGCCATCGCTCTGAGGCTCAGTCTGGGCCTGATTGCGGCAGCCGCCATTAGCACGTACATCAAACATATGGTTGCACGACTGCAGCGATTCGTCCCAGGCTGTGCCGTCCGAGCAGCGAAAGCCGATTTTATTGTAGCCCCTTCCATTCGAGATGCAGCGATAAAACACGGTGCAGTCACTGGGATCACTCATAAATCCATCATCCCGGCACGCCACCTCATCGGCATCCTCCTCCCCGGACACCGCGGCGCGTAAGGTTGATGAGCTGGAGCTCGAGAAGGATATGACTGAAACTCCATTGAGTCCTGTCAGGCCGTAATTTGTGGGCAGCTGATTTGCCGTCGCATAGGTGCGCAGCTCATTGGCGGCGGGTGTGACGGCACCGTTAAGCAGCGCATTATGGTCACCATCATTCTGGCCATCATTGACGAGTCCATCATACCCATCAGAGCCGTCACCCAGACCCCCCATGCTGCCGTCAATCTCGTTCATCTGGTCGACGCACTCGTCCCGCCCGGCCATCGTGGGGGGCAGGCACATACGAAGGGTGCGCGAGAAGACGGTGTTCTCCTTACAGGCGAGCATATACGGCCGGATGTACTGCTCCGTGCGCTGCTCGCAGCGGTAGTAGATGCGGCAGTCGTAGTCGTCGGCAAACAGTCCCTCGCCCGGACAGTAGAAGGCCACGTCCACGCTTTGGGCCAGCGAATTCGCACGGATTGATGAAGATGGAATGTCTGCAATAAAAGTCAAGTGATGAACGTTTTAGCTAGTTAAGTTTTTTTCTGCACTGACTAAATAAGCTACACTGCAAGAAGAAAGAAGAAAGCCGAAGCAGAAAATATTTTGCAGAATTTCCAGATTAAAATTTCAGATTGTGGAAAGTTTTTTCGCCAGTGTATATTTACCAGCAGCGACGATACACCTAACACTGATAGGTTTTAGTTCTAGAATAACTTATCATGGTAATAATTATTTGTTTTATTGTTGGGAAATTAATTTTCTACTCAAGCATTAGTCCTCATACATACATACATACGAGTATGTACCCTAGTATCTATCATGGCACTTATAACAGGCAATTTGTAATCGGCCGCTGGAACAAACCATTCAACTGAAACTTCCTGTCACAAATGCTCGCATCTGCAATCATTATTATATACACACACATATGTAGGAGGTGCACACATATGTATGTACGTATGTATATTTATCTACATATTTTGCTCAATTTCGTTTGACATTTTGTGTGTGGCTCGTCTTTCGTCGTTTTTCGTTGCGGGATTTTTCGCGCTGTCAAAATAAAATTGATAATTTATTGTCATTCAATGTGCGAGAGTCCTCTTTTTTTTGTTGGCTTTGTTTTTATTCCTGCCCCGGCATTGGCTTCCAATAAATTTAAATGCATTTATGGCCGTTACAGCGGAACAAATTCATTTTCAAAATGAATTGTGGGTGTGTGGGTGTGTGTGTGTGGGCGTGTTTTTTCGGGATGTTTTCATTCAGCTTTACAGTGGTTTTTCTGACCTTTTTTTTTGTGTTATTTTTTTTGGTAAGTGTTGTGTGCTAGACCGAATCGCTGTTGCGGCATGTAAATCGGGGGGCAGGAAAATTGTAAATGCTTGGCTAAAAATTAGACCGGGCCTAGGCATAAATTTACATCAGTCATAGTCTGATATATTTGATTTGGTTTTTTCTCTCTCTTCCTCACATTATTATTATTATTATTGGAGCATGTGAGCCTGGCCGCCACTGGTTTATGGCTCAAACGGCCCAGAGCCATATATTTCCCATGAAAATTGCCAAATATAATGGCCATAAAATGTAATTATAGCAAATGTGGCTAAGCAGGAACAACATTAGCATTTTTAAGCAAAAGCAATATGATGAGGTTCGTTTTGGATATTTGAGTGAACTGTTTTGGGAAGATGTTGAATAGGCACGAAAATTCAATAACAAAAGAAAAAAAAAAAAACTAAAAAGTTACAGGGAAATAAATTTCAATTTGCTTATTCCAATCATTAATAATAATATTAAAAGAATAGAATAATTCTACATTGATCGCAGATCAGCTCGGACATTTTTGGAGTATTTTGATATTCGCATTCGCTGAAGACGGCTTAAATTTTAAATTGGAGCCCACTGCAGAGTGGAACCGGAAAAACTAGTAAAATAATTTAATAGAACGCCTCACAGCACATGGCCTGGCCCGGCCTGGCCTGGCCTGGCCTGGATGGCTGCTCGTGGGCAAACAAACATAAAGTTTCAATTTGTACACGAAAGCCCAAAAATGCTAAACCCATTACACAGATGGTGGCTGTGGAGGAATGAAAGGTTGGACGGAGTAGTATCCGTATCCTTGTCGTCACTCTCCACCCTCCGGTGGGGGGTGGAAATTGACCGTTTTACGATTTTAATTATATATGATGTGTACTTTAGAACTTATGCAAAATGAAACGCAAGGAGAGCGCGGCAACGCGACCACAAACTTATGCGTTACCCCGCTCCGTTCCACTACCACCCTGACTATCAGAGCTCCAACGCGCGGGGGATGGGTGCAGACAGCTGGGAAGCTGGAGCGGGAGGGAGCGGGGGAGCAGGGCGTAACATGGTTAGCCACAATCTGACCGCAGAGCATGGCCGCAAATAGTTTTGGATATGCCATTGCCACGCACCACCCATACAGACTACAGACTCTCCCCTGCCACCACCCCACCCCAACTGGCGCCTAGGGTTGCTGCATTAAAATTTCAATTTTCAACATTTAAGCACGTTACGGTTTACGAAAATTTAGTTATAAAAGCATAAAATAACATTTACTCGTACTCGCATCCCGTATCCCGTGTGCGGAACTTTCCCTGCCTGGCAGTTCTTTTTCGGCCTTCGTAGGCATAATTATCGTGGACACTGTATAACAAATAGCAAATTCCACGTACTTCTGCCCTCAGCACTCCTTGATAATTAAATATTTATTGAGCGGCTGTTTTTTATGTGGTTTGGATGGCAACAAAGAGCCAACTGTCACAGAGTTTACTTCGTTTTGGAGCGGCAGGGACGCTATTTAAAATTTAATTTGATAAATTGTAAATGTTTTTCTGGGTCTGTTCTGTGGCTGCCAAATCTCCTTAAATGGCCAACTGTAATTAAGTTTCGTTTTCTGTTTCTGGTTCTTTTTAATAGTTATTTGTTTTGAAGGTTCTTCGTTTATGTTGCTGTCACACAAAATGCCAACGGGGGACATTTTAGTGTTCCATTGGCGCTTGGGGCGGGGCAGGGTTGGGGTCGGTTAGTTTGTTGTGCGAAGGCAGGGCAAATGTCGCTTAATTAGTTATTAAAAGTTTCGTCATTATATTTTTTGTGCTCGATTCAGTTCCTTTTTTTACCGCCCTGCAGCCGAATTCATTTTGTGGTTAAAGTTGCTCAAAAGAAGGCCAAGAGGGGTCTGTTTTTAAATGGGTCGACTTAGCGAAAGAACTTAAATTTTACCTTTGCCAATCATTAAATGAAAAATCGTTAGTAAAAATCTTCCACACTCACAAACACAATACAAAACATTCTCATTTATTGCAATCTGTTGATCAAGATTTTATCTTCTTCCCTGCATCCCATTCTCATTATGCTGTAACGTTTTTAGTGACTTGATTCTATTAACTTGACTGAGAGTGAGGGCAAAAAAATGATGCAATAAAACTCGCCATTGGCATTTAAAAAAAAGAAGGGAAATTCAAATGTCAGTTGGCAGTTTGATATCTGTCCTGTCCAAGCTCCAGTTGTCGCATCCTTTAATCGGATCCCTCACTCCGTCACACCAGCCTCAGCCCCAGTCCAGCTGCAGCTCCAGCTCCAGCTCTGCTGGCTGGATAATTCCCCGATGGCTATGTAGTGGCAAGTTGTAAATAGGATATTTGGATTTTTTAGCTGCCCCATCGTCGGGTTGGCAACTCCGTAATTTCATTTGCCTCTGGTGGCATTTGTCCGCTGCCTTCATGCCGGACCACGTACGTGTTGGCCTGGCCTGGCCCGGCCCGGATTTCAGTTTCAAGTGCATGTTTATGCCACGCCCAGGTCATTCCGTTTCGCCCCGCCCGAATTTCATGGTGCAAAATGACCAACTACAGGAAATTCAATTTATTATGCAGCCTGACAGTTTTTAGCCATTCTCTCTCTAAGATGACAGCTGCTCCAGCGCCAGCTCCAGCCCCGGCTATAGCTGCTGCTGCAGCTTCTTCTCGTGCTTCGTAATTCTGACAGTTGCAACGAGTAAAAAAAGATGAGTGAACCTTTCGCTAATTCTGGCATCTGTCCGGGCTCCGTTACTTCTCTTTGGACTCATTTTTCCTTTGGCCAAAACTGCTTTCGAATGCGGTGCGGCAGATGCATTTGAATTTCGCGCTGCGCTGCGCTCGAGCAAATTTTAATATTGGCAACGTCCTTGAAAGCATCGATTGGCGGATCGGACCGGACCGGACCGGACTGGCCAGTCATTACTCATACGCAGCGTGTGACACAATTACCATTTTGCATTATTCATGCCGATGCGGCATGGGTAGATAAACTTGTTAGAAAACTTGCTGACAGCTGCCATGAAAAACTTAAATATTTAAATGTCCTCTCCGCCCGCACACCCCACCCCCCACAACTCGAACCATCTCAATGGGAATTGTCTTGAGCTTCGAGCAATTAACTTGAATTTGAACTATTTAGAAGCACCAGGCCAGCACTCATAGTGTCAGGCAGCTGGTAGGAGGTTCCAATGTCTCAGGGACCAGGGAGCAGGGACCAGGGCTTGCCGTCATGCCGGTAAATTAAGCATAAAGCGCTTTTAGTTACAATCACGTTCGTCTCAATTAAACTACATTAAATTCAATTCAATTAGCAGAACACAGGAACACGAAATGAAAGCAACATTGTCATTACGGTTAGGGCTGCCCTTGCCGATGGCAACGTCTTCTGTCCAGGAGCCAGGAGCCAGGAGCCAAGGGACCCAGGACTAAAGACGCAGAAATCTAGCGATGGCCTGACTGACAATTGACTTTCATTATTTCCTACATTCCTTGGTGCATTATTGAGGCCTGGTGCTGGGCATATTTGACACAGACAGAGACCAAGGAGCTGGCGAGGTCTTACTTTACTCCTTTGCTACGCTGCTCCTGGTGCTCCTCCTGGTGCTTCTGTCTTGGCGTGTTAGTTTGCCTGTGTGTAATTAAGTTTAATATTTAATTTAATTGCATATAGACATACAACTACAGCGGCAATGTGCCTCATAAAAGGACACGCGCTGAGACAATGTTGGCCATTTTGTTGCTGCTGTTCTCTGCTCACTGAAATTATGATGAAAGCAGTGGCAAAAGGCAGAGCCAAGAGCTTTTATACTGTTAGTGGATGGCGTAGGAGGAGGACGGACTCCTTAGCCCAACTCTCACCAAAGCCATAAAGGTGAAGGTCAGTCTATAGCTGCCTCGAAACTGGAACGTGCTCGCCTTAGCCGGGACTTAATATCGTGGATACTCCCACTGTGTGTGGGTTGGTCAGTGACTTGCTTAGTTACTTCATTTTGCGTTGACCTCTTTCGGGGCTGCATTATTATCATTGGAGTTGCCTGACTCTGCCTGACTGCCTTCTATCCGGACTGCTTATATTATGTCCTTGGCATGGGATTATGGCGTGTTAGCAGGTAGTTCGTGCCCCCCATCCGCCATCCGCCACTAAGCATTGGGGCCAGGAGTCGTGTAATGAA